GAGAGGGAGGGAGCGGGTGCTGGGGCAAGGGCAGCAGAGGGCCTTGGTGGCTGCATTTCTGAGTAACTGGTGTCCCTACGCCATGTGAGGGCCACGATGCCCCGGGTGGGACAGAGGCCACCGTGAACTGCTGTCGGGGGCTGCCTCCCCCCCTCCACTGAGGTTTCTCTGTTTCTCAGGAGGCTGACCTGGGCCAGGAAGAGGACAAAGACACGGTGTTGGCAGCAGAGCCTGGCGGGGGGCCCGAGGCCGAGGTCCAGCCCCTGCTGGCCATGACGAGTTCGAGAAGGGACAGTGTGGGCGTGGAGCTGGCAGTGCTAACCGACGACCTGATGCCCATGGTGGACCAGCAGCAGGTCATCGCCCGGTAAGGGCCGCAGCGTGGGGCTGGCGGGACCCCTCACGGGGCGGGAAGGAGCTACGCCTGGTTGTAGGGGTGCCCATAGATTCTTCCTGACCCCCCACTGAGGCTGCACAGCCCCCCTCTGGCCCTGGAGCACACCCCGACCTGCTGTGAGGGCCTGGCCTGCTCTGCTGCTGACCATCAGCTCTGGGAGGTGGGTGTTGTTATGAGCCTGTGTCCCTGTGGAACAAGGCAACGTCTGAAACACTCAGTGGCGCTTTACTGGGCAGCGAGGAGTCCACATGAGCCTTGCCTTGTGGTCACTTAAACCTGCTCTTTAAAGAGCAGAATGCGCCCTGGCCAGTTTGGCTCAGTGGATAGAGCGTCGGCCTGCGGACTGAAGGGTCCTGGGTTTGATTCCAGTCAAGGGCACATGCCCTGGTTGTGGGCTCCATCCCCAGTAGGGGGCATGCAGGAGGCAGCCGATCAATGATTCTCTCTTATCATTGATGTTTCTATCTCTCTCCCTCTCCCTTCCTCTCCGAAATCAATAAAATATATTTTTAAAAAAATAAAGGGCAGAACTCTAAACAAATTTGAACATTTGGGATGTAAATATTTTAAAAATGTATCATACATGTCTCCGCCCGATCAGACATTGTGTGCTGGACGTATTTCTTTTGCATTTAAAAAATGGAGGTGTGATGGACATATATGGAAGTTTCAGGCGTGCCACGTGCTGATTCCGTGTCTGTGTACATGGTGAGAAGACCGCCACTGTGAGTCTAGGTCACATCCGGCCTTATACACAGTCACCACAACGTCTTACTTGTGATGAGGACTCGTACAATTTATTTTTTAAAAAATATATATTTTATTGATTTTTTACAGAGAGGAAGGGAGAGGGATAGAGAGTTTGAAACATCGATGAGAGAGAAACATCCATCAGCTGCCTCTTGCACACCCCTTACAGGGAATGTGCCCGCAACCAAGGTATATGCCCTTGACTGGAATCGAACCTGGGACCCTTCAGTCCGCAGGCTGACACTATCCACTGAGCCAAACCGGTTAGGGCATATTTTCTTAACAACTTTCAAATATGCAATACAGTGTTTTTAAGTCTAGTCTCTATGCTGTACGTGACATCCCCAGGACTTGTTTTATTACTGGAGGCTGGTGCCTTTTGACCACCTTCACCATTTGGCCAGCCCTCCAGCCGGATCTGTTCTGTGTCCAGGAGCTTGGCTGGCTGGTTCTGCTTCTGAGAGTCCATGTGTCAGTGGGAGCAGACGGATTGGTCTTTCTCTGACTGACTGCACTCAGCATGTGCCCGGGGGCTGGGTGTGGGGATGATCCCAGCCAGGCAATGCCCATCACCAGCTCCTGGGAGCACAGCGGAGCCTGGGAGGCGGGTGGCGGGTGGGTGAGATTCTCACCCTTCCTGTTGGGCACAGCCATGGCCGTGGTAGAGTTAGGTAGGTCCGGTAGGAACCTCGGTGCTGGCCCTGACCCTGTGGCCTCGCCTCTCGGAGCCTCAGTGGAGGCCTGCGGGAAGCGGGGCTGTTGGGAGGGTCCGTGGGTCGCGCTGGACGGCGAGCGCTCAGTGACGCGTGCTTTCCTCTCCGCGTGGGCAGCCTGCAGCTGCTGGAGCAGCAGGTGGTCGGTGGGGAGCAGGCCAAGAACAAGGACCTGAAGGAGAAGCACAAGCGACGGAAACGCTACGCGGACGAGCGCAGGAAGCAGCTGGTGGCCGCCCTGCAGAAGTCCGACGAGGACAGCGGGGAGTGGGTGCTGCTCAACGTCTACGACTCCATCCAGGAGGAAGTGAGGGCCAAGAGCAAGCTGCTGGAGAAGATGCAGAGGAAGGTGAGGCCCGCGGCGTCCATCCACCTGCACACGGCCTGTTAGTGGGAGCGGCCTTGACTTACGAGTGTCCCGACTAACGAGTTTTTTGAGATACCAGCTGTCTCTCGGCCAATTTTTTGCTTTGAGTTGACAGAGTAATTTGAGTTAATGAGCTCCTTAACGAGCTCGGTCTCAGAACGAATTAAATTGGTAAGTCGAGGCCCCACTGTGCATACATACATACAGATGATTATATTTAATACACAGTTTGATACAACCAAAAAAATAATTTTTATTGATTTCAGAGACGAAGGGAGAGGGAGAGAGAGAGAAACATCAATGATGGGAGAGAATCATCAGTCAGCTGCCTCCTGCACACCCCACACTGGGGATCGAGCCCACAACCTGGGCATGTGCCCTTGACCAGGAATCGAACCATGACCTCCTGGCTCATAGGTCGACGCTCAACCCCTGAGCCAGCCGGCCTGAGGCTCACTTTCCAGTGGGAGAGTGTGTGTGTGTGTGTGTGTGTGTGTGTGTAAGAAAGAACAACAGAGAAACAAGCAGCAGAGTCTGGGGTGATGACACTGCAGATACCGGGACGGGAGGCGGCTTTATTTTCCCACTTTCACTGAAGTGCAGACGTCCACGTCACAAATGCACAACTTAATCCACTGCCACAGGCCGAGTGCCCCAGGACACCGGCCCCCTAGTGGACGTGAGCATTCACCCCAGGAGCTCCTGGGGCCACCTTCATGGGGACAGGAAGTTGTGAGGGAGGTGTGGCTTCTAAGGTGGGGCCTCGAAGCTAAGAGGCAGCACCTGAAGGCAGAGGGTTCTGGGCCCAGAGGCGTCAGTGCTGGGAACAGGGAGCGGATCCAGGAACGGAGGAGGCAGCGTGGCCGTGGCTGAGCGTGGGGAGCGAGGCTGGGGCAGAGAATGAGGCCCCGCCTCTGCGCCAGTCACTTCCTCCTCCTCGGGTGGCGTGTCCTCTGCGCGGTCCGGGCCTCCTGGTGTCCCCTGGGCCACCTGCGGGTCCCCCCTCCTCGCCCACCAACACTGGCAACCGAGGGTCTTGCCAAAGCAGGAAGGTGGTGACTTTTTCCTCTTTAAACCGCTTTCATTTTATATTTTCTTGGCTACTTTCATGCCTTTTCTTAGTACCTCTTGTTATGCTTTTCAGTCAAATTCATTCTTCCTTGGATATCTCATAACTTGGTTTTCCTATCTAAGTGTTTTTTATTTATTTATTTTTAAAAAATATATTTTATTGATTTTTTACAGAGAGGAAGGGAGAGGGATAGAGAGTCAGAAACATCGATGAGAGAGAAACATCGACCAGCTGCCTCCTTCACACCCCCCACTGGGGATGTGCCCGCAACCAAGGCACATGCCCTTGACCGGAATCGAACCTGGGACCCTTCAGTCCGCAGGCCAATGACGCTCTATCCACTGAGCCAAACCGGTTAGGGCTAAGTGTTTTTTAAATCCTCACCTAAGGATATGGTTATTGATTTTTATTTATTTATTTTTTTTGAGAGAGGGAGAGAGGGAGGGAGGAAGGGAGGGGAGAGAGAGAGAGAGAGAGAGAGAGAGAGAGAGAAACATCGATTGGTTGCCTCCTGTATGTGCCCTAACTGGGGATCAAGCCCGCGACCTTTTTGGTATATGGGCTAAGACTCCAACCAACTAAGCCACCCAGCCAGGGCGACATACCTAAATTGAAAACAAAAACCACACAAATTCTTCCTGGGTTTGGTGAATGTCCCATCTCACACTGTCTTCATTTTTGTCCATTTCCATGTTAAGTTTTGGACTTCTGACTTGAAGTCTTCATGTCTGTGACTACCTGTTGAAGGGATTTTTATTCACATTGGGGTGCTGTGTTACGTGTTTAATGTCTGGCTCGATGCCCTCGTGCTGTGGGGGGATTTTCTCCTGAAATGCACTGATCTACATTTCTGTTCCTTGTAGTAGCTCTCCTGTTTTTCATAACGACACAGCAGTTACACTCAAGAGAAATGAAAATATGTCCACACAAAGACTTGTGCACGAATGTTCAGAGCAGCATCATTCATTACAGCCCAAAGCGAAAACAGGCATAAACGAAGGAATGTAGCATATTCGCCCAACGGGAGAGTATTCCGCAGTAAAAGGAAGTACTGATACGTGATACAACACGGTGAACTTGAAAACACCATGTTACGCGAGAGAAGCCAGACACAAAAGGCGACATAGTGTGTGCTTCCGTGATTTCATTCATAAGAAATGTCCAGAATAAGCACATTTACAGACAGGAAGTAGACTGGTGGTTGCCTAGGGGGGTTGGGAGAAGTGGGGAATGACGAATGAGTATGGGGTCCCTTTTGGGGCGATGAAATGCTCCCACACTGGTCGGGACAATGGCCGCACAACTCTGAATGTACTAAGAGCCACTGAATGAACTGTACACTTTAAATGCTTTATTTCCAGCTTCGGGCGGCAGAGGTGGAGATCAAAGACCTGCAGTCGGAGTTTGAGCTCGAGAAGATTGATTACCTGGCCACCATCCGCCGGCAGGAACGCGACTTCCTGCTCTTCCAGCAGCTGTTGGAGCAGGTGCAGCCGCTGATTCGCCGGGACTGTAACTACAGCAACCTGGATCGGGTCCGGCGCGAGTCCTGCTGGGACGAGGACAACGGCTTCTGGAAGATCCCGGAGCCCGTGGTCATCAAAACCAGCCTCCCAGTAGGTCAGGAGCCTGGCTCTCCCTGGGCCCTCCCTCCCCGCCTCCACACTTTGCTTCCCTGCAGACTGACAGGAAGCCATGGGCCTCGTCCTGCTGGCTGTGGGTGAAACAGACATGTGACCCCGAGATTCCAAAACATGGGGGGTCTGAAAGAACGGTGTGTTCTGAGTCAGTTGGAATTCTGGCTCCATCACTCCCTGTGTGACCTCTTTGGGACTCAGTGTCCTCATCTGTGAAATGGGGATTAATACCAGCACCTTAAAGGGTGCGTGTGGCTTACAATGTATTAATACATGTAAAACCCTCAGAGCCATGCCAGGCACATCTTAAGTGCATGGGACACTGCAGCATCATCGTGATCCTATCATTTCACCCCACAACCATCCTGTGAAGGACAAGGACCACTGCCCCTGGTTTACACGGGAGGAAGTGGACTCTCAGAGAGGGGAGCGCCTGTCAGTCACAGCATGAGGTGCAGGGCCAGGGAGGCAAACGAGCTGTCCCCTGCAGGCCTGGTTCAACTTCTGCCTTTGCACTAACCTTCCTGTGACCTTAAGAGGGTCACAGTCCCTCTTGGGCTTTGGTGCTCTCATCTTCACAAAGAAGTGGGTGGGGTGGGGGGGGGATAAGAGGATCTTCGAGGCGCCTCCATCTTGAAGTGGAGTCTGGCCAGACTGAGTGGCTCTTTCTGCAGCCACGAAGCTGGCTCTGCCCATGCAGAGAGCAGTAGCTGTTACAGCCCACAAGGCCCCCGCCAGTTCTGCCCCTGGTCAGAGGGTTGTCCAGGCCCCATGTCTCCAGTGTTTATGGCCACTGACACCATCTCTGCTGACACTCCAGGCAGCTGCAGCCTTCCTCCCGCCCCCACCAGCCTGCCATCTTCTTTGGGGTCTGAGCCCTCCTGTTGTGTTTCCCGGAGGCATCCCTTTGCTTGGCCCGGGAAGGCCTCCCTTGGCTCCAACCAAGCCTGAGCCAGGCCTAACGCGCCCCCGACTCCACCCCACCCCAGGGGAGACGGCTGCAGCCCACCCTGTCCTTCTGGCCCCCATAGCGAGCAGCAGGCACTTCAGCTTTTGTTTTCTCACAGCAGTTTCAACAGGGCTGCAGAACAGACCAGCCCGCAAAACCTCCGCGGCAGACAGCGGCGAGCTGGGCATGGTAAGACCCCCGGAGAGGGAGCGAGGGGTGGGCTGAGGGGGCTGGCGCCAGGGTGCATTACCACAGGGAGCTGGACTTCTACTTCCTTCCGCCCTGAGGATTCAAGCAGGGGGCCGAACCGGGGTCCTTCCTGTGCACCTGTTGGCACCTAGACCTTCAGCCCCCTCTGGCCCTCATCCAAACCCACGTGTGGTCACGACGACCAGAGGGAAAGGAGACGGTTCAGATCGGCCCAGCTGCGGGGGAGCACAGAAGCGGCAGCTCGAACCCCAGAAGCCCAGCAGCACAGTTTGGCGCCCTGGGCCCTCGCTGGTCTAAAGCTCTGATTGGCTGCTTTGGATAGCTTAACTATATAAAAAAGGGAAAGTTGTTCCTGAAAAACACACACACAACATTCTTACCCTGGGACCACTAAGGGGTTCTATTAGTCAGAATGCTTTTACTCCCGGTGATAGCTACCCGAAGCAGACAATCACAAGCAAAAGGGGAATTTCCTGGTGCATGTTAAGAGAACCGGTTTCAGGCATGGCTGGATCTCGGGGCTCAGACAGCCAGGCTTCCCTTCGTATTCTAGCGTTGGACCCAGGCAGGCTTTTCTCCAAGTGAGAAAGGCAGGAAAGACGGCTGCTGGCGATTAGTGACCCAACAGAGAGACCGGTCTCTTAGCGTCCTCACACCAGTGCTGGTGTAGATTCTGATCTGTTCTGCCTGGTCCCAGGCCTACTCTTGGACCAATGACTATGTCCAGAACATGGAGTTCTGTGATTGGTCCAGTGTGGGTCACATGTCCAGCTGTGTAGCAAGGGGTGGGTGGGTGGGAGTGGTGGTATTAGGGCACTCTGAATGATCACCCCACCAGGACGATGTTGGGGGGAGAAGGATAGGTCCCCGAAGGAAGAGATTCAGGGTGAAGAAAAGTCCACGAGAGTGAAAAACAATAGTTCTTGGTGATAGAAAGATTGGGGCTCCAGTTCTAACGATTATAAACGCGCCCCTGAGCTGAGCGCTGTATTACTCTCCTGTGATGTGTTTGTGTACGGATGATGGGTTTGGGTGTGTTGTGTTGTCCTTGCCCGGATGGAGCTGGCACAGTGCCCTCTGCTGAGGTTTGCAGGAGGGAATGAGGCACTTCCATTCCCAAGGGAGGGGTGGGGGGTGTAGGCTCGGCTGGATCCCACCCCAGGAGGCCGGTCTGTAGCCGATACACGGGAGGGGCAGCGGGGCCAGGGAAGCCCATCCCCCAGGCTTGCGGAGGCCGCTGAGCCCTGGGTGAGGGCCCACATAAGAGCTGCACGAACAAGGGGTCTTAACCGTGAGGGTCTGGGCTCTCAGCAGGAAGAAGACCGCTACAGGCTGATGCTCAGTCGGAGCGACAGTGAGAATATTGCCAGTAACTACTTCCGGCCAAAGCGGGCCAGCCAGATCCTCAGCACAGATCCCAGGAAGAGCCTCGGTGAGTGCCCTGCCCCCTCTTGTCCTGCAGCCTCTTCCCTCGGCCCTCGGCCAACAGGGAGGGGCTGACGGGCCGGACGGAGTCAGACAGGCCTGGTCCTCAGCTATTAAGTGAGGGGGAGACACAGGATTAGGTAAATGAAATGGGGAACGGCCCAGCCCAGGGCCTGCACATAGTAGGTGCTCAATACAGCCTCCCCTTTCCTCCTGGGGAGACGTGCGATTTGATTCATCTGCTCCCCCGACATGCACTGGGCCCCCTACACTGGTCAGGGCCTGGCGTGGGGCTACGTGACCCTGGACAGTTACCAGCCCCCTCAGCTGCCAGGGTATTGGCTTTCCCCTGAGCCAAGGGGGCAGACAGGGTCACAAAAGCAAAACACGTTCAAAAGCAAGAACTGAAAATCACTTCATTCTTCTGCTTTTAAAGACCTCAGGACTTCCAGTAAAATATCCGTGAGAAGCACATCTCAGTCCTGTATTGAGGTTATTTAAGAGACAAAGTGGGTGGAGTTGAGGACTAAGGAAAGAAAAGTTGGACAGGAAATAAACTAACATCCGTTGGGAACCTGGCGCGGTGCCCATGGGGCAGATGAGGAAACTGAGGCCGAGAGGCTCAGCCAGGCATCCCTGACTGAGCTCAGGGTGGCTGCAAGGAATGGCTCCGGCCAGCCTAAATCTCTGACTGGCTGCTTTTGATAGCTTAACGTTGTAAAAAAGGGAACGTTCCTGAAAGAAGCACACACACACACACAAAACTATTCTTAACCGAGGACCACTGAGGGGTTTTCTCCCAAGTGAGGCCATCCTTCTAGGAAGGGGTGGAGCTGGGCTTTGAACCCAGGCTTGTCTGGCTTGAGATCCCAGGCTGTGTCCCAGCCCAGACCCTTTGGGCGCAGACATAGTGCCGGGTCTGAGGCCCCAACCCGAGCAGCTTAGAACGTGGGGTCCTAGCAGTGGGACCAGGGCTGGGGCCGGGTGGGGGCGGGACAGGGGCCGCACCCGCACGCAGTGCTTTCCTTCCCACCTGCACTCCCGGCTCACCAGCGCCCTCCGCCCTCCTCCACAGCCTATCACAGCTCGCCGCCAGGCCTCAGCTCCCCCCTCGGCAACAGCTCCGCCATACCACCCTCCCAGGCCGCTGAGATGCCCCAGCCCCGGCCCTTCCGCCTCGAGTCCCTCGACATCCCCTGCACCAAGGTCAAGCGTAAGAAGAGCAGAAGCAGCTTTGGCAGCGAGCCTCTGTGAACACAGCTGCCTGCTGGGGGCTTCGGGACTGCCAGGCCCCCCGGGGCAGCCCCAGCCAGGCCTCCTCTCCTGCCCCCGGGTGACAGGGGCGCTGGAGGGGGCCCTCGCCCTGGAGGGCAAATTCCCTTCCCTGTTCCCCAGAGAGCCCACTGCTGCCCGGGCGGGAGCCCCTCGGAGCTAGACCGTCCTTGGAAAGGCCCCTCCAGCTCCCAGTGCCACGTCAGTATTTCCACCTGCTCACCTGCCACGGAGCCGCCATCTGTGCCCACCAGTGTTGTTCAGAGCCCCAATGGGCTCTGCCTCAAGGCCTTTACCGACAGCGTGTCAGCAACTTCCCCGTGGATCGCGCTCAACGTGTCGGTGATGGAAAACTGTGCTTCTGTCCGGTTGGCCCCACTTCCTGGGGGAAGCCCCGCAGGACGGTGCGCGAGGCCTGAGCAGTTGCCCCTGGTCTGTGGCTCCCGGCCGGTCTGTGGCCCAAGGAGCCCGCTCCGCATTAAGCTGCCCCAATAAACTGTCTTTTACCCACAAGCCCCCCTCCCTGGTTCTCTGGCAGCGGCACCGGGCCCCTCCCTGCCTGGAAGCCCTTCCTGGAGCCCGGGTCTCAAACAGCCGAGGCCGTTAGGACAAACAGGCTCCCAGGTGTCTGCGACAGTGCCCTGCGGTTGTGAGCACCAGTGCTCGTTTCTGGGGAAAGCGTCTGACCTGCCATTAGGCTCTCAAAGCATCTTCGACCCAGGAAAGCCGAACCCTTGTTTAGGAAACCGGCTGCGGCCCAAAGGAGGCCCAGGTGGGGTCTGCCCTCGGGGGCTGTGCTGGAACCGGGTGTCCTGACAGGGCCACCCCAGCAACCTAGGCCCACACCCCTCCCCTAGTTCCTTGTAGCCCAGGCCTGCCTCCTGGGAGGGGCTCATACTCCCAGGGAGAAGTTTTGGCCTTTGGTGCTGTCCTGAGCCTCATTTCACTCTGAGCCTCATCTGTGAGACGGGGATAAACACCCGCCTCCTAGAGTTCATGTGAAGGTAAAACGCGGTGGTCTCTAAAGTTCCGGTGCACAGCAGGTGCTCCGGGTCAGCCCATCCTTCCTCCTCTGTTATTATATTTCGTTATCGATTTCAGAGAGGAAGGGAGAGGGGGAGAGAAACATCAATAATGAGAACCATTGATCGGCTGCCTCCAGCACGTCCCCTACTGGGGATCGAGCCCGCAACCCAGGTGTTGGGGGCCAGATGTCAGCCCGGCTCAACCTGTCAGGCTGCCCCTGACACCCAGGCATGTGCCCTTGGCCGGAATCGAACTTTGGACCCTTCAGGGCAACGCTCTATCCATTGAGCCAAACCAGCTAGGGCTCCTCTGTATTTTATATTAGTTGCTGTGGCTCATGCTACAAACCACATGCTGGGCCAAGGAGCTCACCTCCTGGAGAAGCTGGGGTGGGGTGGAGGGTGCTTAGGTACCTACGCAGGCAGCCTGCAGATACACTTGGAATAAGAGGGAGCCAGGTCTTCATGGGAACAAAGTCCTCTTGGTGAAGGGAGCAGCAGCAGGTGGTGGGGGCGGGGGCGGGGGGCTCCCATAAAGGATGGAGAATATCTGGGGAGGCTTAAGATGGGGACGTGGGGAGGGAGAGGGAGCTGCATGAGCGAAAGGCAGGAGGCGAGGAAGCTGAGGGTAGGTTAAAGGTCGGAGGAGACCTGTTCCAGGTAAGCCCTGGGTGGGACTAAGGAGCACGAGGCTGCAGACCTGACAGTGGAGGGCCGCTGGGAGTCCGTGGGCTGGGGCAGACTCCTAAGCAACGGTTTAGTTAGAGGTGGACTGAAGTCGTGGGGCTGCTTGTGGGGGCTTTCCCTTAGACCTGTGACGGCCCGAGGCAGGTCGGAGGCGAGCCCTGGCCCTGGTCAGCGTAGAAGGGTTGGGAGCCACCATCACTGAGCGGTTGCTCAGCCTAGCCCTGCACTGGCGCCTCAACCGGCTCCAGTCCCCGCAAGAGCCCAGGGCTGTTCCAAGGGCACACAGAAGGGTAGGCGAGCTGCCTCTGGCCATTTTATTTCCAGCCTAGCACAGTGGCCTGGAGAGGAGTGAACTCCCGGGGTAAAGGGGCTAGTGAGGGACCGAGCCTGGGAATGAGCCTAATTAGAGCTTTTTTTTGTCGCTAGGTTAGTCCACCGCCCTTTCCTACCTGCAGGAGGGCCACCAGGCAGGGCAGGCCACGCCAGGCCAGGAGTCTAAAGTGTCCCTGTCCCTGATCTTATTTTTCCAATCGTTTCCTCTCTGGAGATGGTGGAGGAGGGGCCCGGTTCCCAGTCCCGAGACTGGACTGGACCAGAGAGAAACGAAAAGGTGGTCCAGGGAGGCCCCTGTCAAGACCACGCAAGACGGGACCACTCAGACTAAGCGTCCTGTTGATTGGCCGGGGCTGCAGAGCTGTCTCTCTAGGATTGAGCCGTTTTCTTTAGGGAGGCGGAGCCTCGTTCCCTTTCCACCAATAGGATTGAGAGGTTCCGCCTACAACCAAGGCACTTCCGGTGGTGCTCCTGGCTCGGTTCCTATCACCTGAACCGCGGCTCTTGGAGTCCGGCCCCGGCGAACCCAGATCACTTCCGGGTGGAACTCCAGGACCCCGAGCCGCGATTGGCTGGCCTTAGATGGGTACTTCCGGTGTCCAGGTGCTCGGGTTCTTTGGCAGGAGTAGAAAGATGGAACTTGGCGCCGCCGCCCGTGTTTGGTCCCTCTTGTGGCTGCTGCTGCTGCTTGGCCTGGTCGGCGCCAGCGGTCCCCGCACCCTAGTGCTGCTGGACAACCTCAACCTGCGGGAGACGCATTCGCTTTTCTTCCGGAGTCTGAAGGGTGAGGCGGGGGTCCGAGGGGGCGGCGGGTGAAAGTCTGAGTTTGGAAAGGCCCCCCAGCCCGAGGGCAACGGCCACCCTCCCTCGCACTCGTTCTCCACGAGCGGGCCGCCCAGGTCTGGCCTGCCGCTTGGGGGCGGGGGGAGGGCTGTCGCGGTCTCTGCAGCGGCGGTTTCCCTCAGCCTCAGTTGCCTGCTTTCTCCTTGTGCAGATCGGGGCTTTGAACTCACATTCAAGACCGCAGATGACCCCAGCCTGTCCCTTATTAAGTACGGGGAGTTCCTCTATGACAATCTCATCATCTTCTCCCCCTCGGTAGAAGGTAAGGGCCGCGCATCACCTTTCGCCCGGGGTGGTAGGTTCAGGACTGATCTGTCACTTTGTTCTGCATCTCGGGCATGTGCTGGGTCATGGGATGGTCACTAGCCCTCGCCACAGCTGCTGCGGGTGAAGAGGAACGTGCTAACCTCTGTCCTGGGCCAATCAGGGCACAGCTTCTGGAAAGACACAGCTGAGGACTGTAGGGTCAGGTGTTGCCACAGACCATGAGCCTGGGCCCCTGCTAATCTGAGAAGTGAATTTTCCCTGTAAAGCGACTGATAGGAAAGATGGAGGACCCCTAGCAGGGCTGGCCTGGGCGGAAGGAGGAAATGGCATGTTGTTAACAGGGTGTGCAGTAAAGAGGCTGTAGCCGTTGAACTTGTGGATTCATAGTTCTCAGGCTGAAAAAGAGGAATGATCTAGCCTCGCTCCCTAGTTGAGGCTGGATGGCTAGGTCTAGAACAGAATGAATGTCTTTACTTCAGTATTCCTGCGACAGAGAGCTTACGCGGCGGTCAACTCCACCGCTGGACAACTCTGTCACTTCTTATATTACATTGGAATTTGCCTCCTATTTCCTACTCTATTTGGGGTGGGGAGAGGAGGAAGGGGTTTCTTACACTCCTCGGCCTTAGAGAGTTGGTCTGATGCTTTGATTACAGGCACAGCCTGCACGTAATCATAGCTGGTTCAGCTGGTTCTTCTCAGACTAAATACCCCCAGTTCCTTTGGCTGTTTCTCTTTGCCGAGCTTTTTGGTGGGCATCTAGTCTCCTCTTCTGTAGTGGCTTCCATTTGTCTTTTTCTCCGAGGACTCAGGTTGCCATTTCTTCCTTCCGCTGATGGAGCTCAGGAAGTCTGTCGCTTCGTTGGCATCTACTTTATTCTCTGTAGTTCCTGTGAGGCTGGATTCAGCCAGATCCCTGAAGTATTTTTCTCAAGGCTCCAAACAGTTACACGATACCCCCAGCTCCCCTGCACAATGTGCCTCTGGTGTTGGCTTTTCGGAGGCAGGTGTAGTGGGTGGAAGTGAGCCCAGGCTGTACAAATGAAAATCGTCTGGTTACTTTGTGTGTGTGTGTGTGTGTGAATGAATGTGAATGGAGCCTTCAGCTGGTTAATTGGCTTTGCCCAGTTTCTTCTGTGTTTGGAGCTCTGGAAGAGGTCCTCACAGCGACAGAGCGCTTGCCCTGAGGAGTTCTTTCAGTCCGTCTGTGAGGCGATACGAATAAGGACCTGAAATGAGATGCCAAACCCTGGGTGGGGCGGAACGCGGTGGAGCGCAGGAGCCGCCTGCGTTGTGCTCAGGAGGTAGAGTGGGAGTGTCGCTGAGAAGGAGGGACACGGTGGGTGAGACAGGGAGAAGGGGTGAAGATGGGTGGGAGAAAGTAGATGTCAGAGCCTGACAGTGTTTCCCAAGTGTTAGTCGACTTTCCGTACCTCCTTCGTGATATTCACCAGATTTTATATCACCTGTGCTAATTGGTGTTTTTCTTTAAACTGACTTGCTTTTTAAAAACTAAAATAACATTTTAAAAGGAACCCAGGAATGAACCCAGTGTCACCACGGAAATGGAGTCGGTGTTGTCCTTGCCTTCAGTAGAAGGCAACTATAAATACACTAAGTGCAGTGCTGAGTCCTATACAGATTCTGTTCCCTGCAGCCCGAGGCTTCCTCTTGCAAGAGGAGATGAGAAAGTGAGGGAAGGGTTACAGCCCGGTATCCAGCTGAGACACTGTCTCTGACAGAGGACTGAGATGTGACGTGACTGAAAGCTCTGCCCCACGTCACCTTGTCACCTTTTCTGTCCCTGGCAGAGTGGGTCCCACACTTTGGGAAACATGGCTGCAGTTCTTCAGGCACTCCTGGGAGAAGGCTTGTCTCTGCTGCGGGGGGTCAGGGAAGGGTTTGGCCCCTGCTTCAAGGGCCCTTATGTGGTCCCGGGACCACCGTTAGCCCATTCGGGTGTGAGAACGCTGCTGAGTCAGTGGGTTCCTTGCCCTCTCTGGGGTCAGGAAGCTTCCAAGTTGAATTCAGTAAAGTAATGGCTACAGAAGAAGGACCCTCTGTACCCCCAAACTCTGGGTCCCTTTTTGTAGGTAGGGAAATGGTCTTAGAAAGGCGAAGGGATGCCTAGATGTAAGCCCAGGTGTCTCCATTTCAGCAGCGGGACTCTTGACATTTTGGACGGGATAATTCTTCGTTGAGAGGGCTGTCCTGTGTACTACAGGGTGTGTAGCAGCACCCTGGGCCCTCTACCCACTAGATGGCAGTACACTCGCCCCTGGTGACAACCAGAAATGCTAAGACAGTGTCCCTAAGGGGACACTGTACTGTAGGAGCTGTTACTCAGTCTGTAGGAGTGGAGATGGCTTTGTAAATGTCGTCGGAGAGGCTGGGTTTCCAGGTACATGTTCTCGCTGAGCCTGAAGGAAAAGTAAGGTGCTTTGTTTTTGTTATTTATGTGAAAATTACCAAATTAAACAGGATCATTCTCACATTCAGATCTTTACAGCTAGTTTTGGATGCTTACGGCAGTCACCCGACCAAATTGACCAAAAAGGATATAATCTCACAATTACAGATGTTGGAAATTAATGACCCTTTTTGGTGATCACTTTTTTTTTTTAAAGCACAGTATATGAAGTGGCTCTGTTATGGCTACAATGGCTATAAACCTGTAGGATTTCTAGAAAAAACCCTACTCATGTTGGGTGAGTACTAGTCTCAGCGACAGACAGCATCATCCTTAGAGTCAAAAGTGCTCTTTCTCAGATAACTTAGAAGTGAAGTTGATGGGCTCTTGCAAACCATGTTAGGTGACCCCCAGAGTGGCTCTAAAGGTGCAGCCAATGAGTATGAATGAAATTGTTTCATGGAGTGAGTGGGAGAATGCAGCATTTTTAAACAAATATTTTATACTAGAGGCCTGGTGCATGAAATGTGTGCACGGGACTGGGGGTATCCTCAGCCCAGCCTGCACCCTCTCGCAGGCTGGGACCCCTCGATGGACATCCCTCTCACAGTCTGGGACCATTCGCTCCTTACTGCCTACCTGC